GAGCGGGCCCCGGCGGTGACCGTGCGCTGAGGGGACCTTTTCTGTCAGTCGCCGCTTAGAAACCCGTCTGGTGCCGAGCTGAGGCGGATGGAGGAGGGAGGGGAGCGCTGAGAGGGGGCGAAGCCTGAGCAGGCCGAGCTGAGGGGCCGTCAACTGCGGGGGCTGCGCGCTCGAGCCCATTTTTAATTTTAATTATTTTTATTATTTTAACGCTTCTTTCATAACATCAACAAGTCATTAATTATTATTTGCCTCTTCATGTGGCTATATTTTCTTTTCTGTTGCTTTCTTTTTGTTTAACATTGATCATGTTTCACCCTGTTTTTCATTCCCCCCCCCTGTCTGCAATCAACTCCTTCATTCCAATCAGGCTGGGCACAGAGTAAGTTTCCTCCTCTTGGCTGTTGCTAACACCGGTGGTAAGGGCTTGTTAATGTTACTCCATCATATGAATATCAGGTGGTACCTATGAATTATAGGGGCTGCTGTTCAAACCACGCTCAAGATCGCACCTGAAATCCCAGTAAAACCCAGATTTTGTAACATTCTTTGCCACTGTTTTATGTTGCACAAACCTGTGATTATTAAACACACCTCAATGCTTTTGTTATCGTAGCTTGCCAAGCTTTTCTTTAATTAATGAGAGCTCAGATGTGATCTGGGGGAAAATATGGGGCAAAGGAGATGATCTTTGTTGAATGCAAACACTCTGCTGACTCCTGTGGGGTTATGTGTTCTAAGTGGCAGTATAATTTTATTAAACATAAAATACTTAACTGGTATTGTATATCTAAGTCCCTTGAGTGTCAGTAAAATAATCTATATATTGCCACTTTAATAATTAACTTTCATAATCAAAATAACTTGTTACCCATTTTTTACTTGCCTTCAAGCATATCATCTCTAGACTGGTGCTAGTAAGGGTATTTTTCACTGGGAACTCTTTTAAAAAGACCATTAAAAATGTGTCTTTTTTCCTCTCATGAGTTAATTTTAAACTGCCAGCTCATTGATTAAAAACCTCTTGTATTGCTTTACTGATACTTTCAGCCATGAGTTCTCCAAAGATGCATGGCTTTGATGATGGCACTGACATTCTTAATCTAAAAAAAAAAAACCACCAAGCCAAAAAACCCCCCCACAAAGCCAAAAACCCACCCAAGTTCCCTCTGCCTTTTTTGGTGACTGTTGGCATGAAGATAGCTGCATGGCCTAAACATTTAAAAAAGCAAATATTAAAAAAAAAAGGTAATTTCTTAGCATAGTTACTGCTGCTTTTATATATATTTATCTGGGCTGTGTCTTTTACAAACACATTTGATAACTGTCACTTCAGGAATTGTCTTACTAACAAAGCTTTAGGGTTGGAAGATAAATTGTCTCTTTAATATGGAGCTGTTTATCAAGTTAACAGGGATGGCTGTCTCTAGATCCTGTGTTTTTACAGTGTAGTGGCAGAACACCCCAAACACCCCAGGTTTTAAGTAGCTTTTCATGCTTTTTTTTTGCATAATTAATTTATTGCTGTATTGCTGGCATTATTTCTTTATTCGCAGATTTAAAGCCTGTGATATTAAACTATGGTCTTACTTCATCTGAATCCTTAATTTTGAAGCCCTCATTAAATTTGTATTCTCCTTGCATCTATTTTATACTGAAACTATGAATATTTAGAACTGGTAATAGAAGGATGGTGTGCAATAGTCTGGCTTATTTTCTCTGCAGTGCCCTGGTTTTTTGTTTGTTCTTTTTTTTTCAGCTGTTAGTCTTATTCTGTTGTTCAGTGGTTCCTACAATACTGAACAAGCTTCTTATTCTGGTCAGCTATTAACACATGTTGCAAATTTGCTGCCTTTTTTTTTTTCTTTTGATAAGGAAGAAAACAAAAGTTTAATTAAAGTAGAAAAAAAACTTGCATGAAGAGTTTTAAAGGGAAGTGGCCACAGTTCAGGTCTGTGCTTGAGAACATATACTATAAATTTCCTGTATATTTTTTGGGGGGGATGTTTAAGGAGAAAAAAGAAAAGAGAGTAGTTTATGTGAGTTCTCAAATTTGTGTAAAATACATCAAGTAGTAACACATTTCTTTTGTTGTAGCTTGCAATGGCTTTTGGCAACAAAATGAAAAATAAAATCTGTAGACTGTTGTGTTTGTAAGGCTGCCCTCTTGGTAATGTTCTGTGTTAGTAAGGGCCCTTGTTTTCCTTCAAAACAGCAATATTTCATCACCATTTCATTCTTATTTTAGTAGCTTTTATATCAAAATGCAAAGTTATGAAACTGAAGAAAAACACTGCAATGCTTTCCCTTTCCTAATGATTCTTGTCTTAATAAGTATCTGTAACAATCTTTCTTCCCTGCCATGACACCTGCTAAGTTGGTGTTAGTGTTGGGAGATCTTCACATTCCACATCGATGCAACAGCCTCCCAGCCAAATTCAAAAAACTGCTGGTTCCAGGAAAAATCCAACACATCCTCTGCACAGGAAACCTCTGCACCAAGGACACGTACGACTACCTCAAGACTCTGGCTGGGGATGTTCACGTTGTCAGAGGAGACTTTGATGAGGTAGTGTCCTCTCTGGATAATGATGGGTTTTGTGCATCTTTTACATAAAGGCAACATTTAGGTTCTTTGTAATTCAAGTAAAAGTGGGTAAATTGAGCTTGCAAAGAGCACTTGAAAAGCAAACTAAGCAAAAGAGTTGGGGTTACGGTCGATTATGTGAATTGCACAGTCAGTTTTCATCTGTCATCAGTCTGGATAAAAGTAATTTGTGTACTTGCCTATGTCTAGGACTCCAGCAAACAGGACCTGCTGTTGTCAGATCTTTGGAGTTCCTTGCATCCTACCACTTTCTCCACAGTGCTCATAAAAGCAGCTTTGTAGCTCTCATTTTGTAGCAGTAGGGCCAGTTACATTTATTATTTCCATAAGCTCCTCCTCACCTCTTCTTGGTGTTACATAGAGATTTTTTTTAAATTTAAATCTGTATATCTAATCTGTGTTTTGGTGGTGGTGTTTTTTTATTTATTTTTTTAGAACCTGAATTATCCTGAACAGAAAGTTGTAACTGTTGGACAGTTCAAAATTGGGCTGATTCATGGCCATCAGGTTATTCCTTGGGGTGATATGGCCAGCCTGGCGCTGCTACAGAGGCAATTTGATGTGGACATCCTAATTTCAGGACATACACACAAATTTGAGGCATTTGAACATGAAAATAAATTCTATATCAATCCAGGATCAGCTACAGGAGCGTATCATGCCTTAGAGAAGTAAGTGAAGTATTGGAAATATCTAGGGGGGGTGGTTTCTATTTAATAACAAAACTGAACAACAAAATTCAGTCTGAAGGTTAACACTTACATTCTAAATGTCAGGGAGAGGAAGGATTGATGGTACTTGCTCAATCCCCTTGACTGAATCAGATGAGAGTGAAATACTTAAAGCTTCAGATGTGATGTGCTGTGTTTATAAAATTCATATCCATTTTCCTTAAGAGTTATTTCTGCTGAGTAGTGGTGAAACACTTCTAAGGCAATTATATACACAAAATTAATATGAATTTTTTTCTCTCTTGCCAGCAACATCATTCCTTCCTTTGTGCTGATGGATATCCAGGCTTCTACAGTAGTTACATATGTCTATCAACTAATTGGAGATGATGTGAAAGTAGAAAGAATCGAGTACAAAAAATCTTAAAAATGTCTTTCTTTGCTTGTCTGGTATTTTTACCATCTCATTCTGAACTGCAAGTTACTACAATACTTGATTGCTAGTTTACAGTACTACACTTACTCGCTAACAGCTTAACAATGTAGCTTATTGGTAATAACTTTAAAACAACATTGTGTTTGCTTTTCTCTGTATGAATTGATTTGTAAAATATTCCATTAATATAACTGTTTAAATACTGTTCCTTAATGTTGTAATAAAACTCCACTTCATAGAAAAACTAAGCTTTATGAACTGTTGTTGGGGAAAAATGTAACAGTTGAAGTTGCTTTTTAAAATGCCTGATGCTCTGGTTTGGTGACTTATGTCTAAAGGATACTTGTAAAAGGCTCAAACAAAAGATTAATGGCTTTGGGGCCATGGTATGTTTGCTTCAGAATCCAGTTGATATTTAATTTTCTCAATTTAACATTTCCAGTTCAGTTAAAAGAATAAAATTGATTGATAGATTCTGAAAATGTTGCAATCAACTCATAATTTACAGTGGTAATTTCACTGTCGAAAGTTTAACTTTAGTCTGTCTATAATCAAAGCAGTTTCAAATACCACACTGCTTTAATGAATGATGGTCTCATTAAACTATGAGCAGCAAAGAGAGGTTTTTCTTTATTTCTGGCTCATACCTGACCCTATGTGTATATGCACTTTGCTCCACGTGCAGAGGTTTTAAATACTGCAATTCCACATGGCACTTGTACTACTGAAAACTAAAACCATGGGTTGTTCAAGAAGACTGGACCTTTGGGCTCTCCTGTTCTTATGCCTGCAGGGAACTGAATGTATTTTACCAGCTCCCATTTCTCATGACTGCTAACTTTCCAATAAACACTGAGTTTTATCTCTTGTCTTCTGCAGAAGAACACTGAGCATGGTGGCCTGTTTCCTTTGCAGATGTTGGCCTTTGCATTACGACTTTTTCCAGTGCAGTAGCTGTGCAGTATTTGTCATGAAGGTTTGAGTTAAACTGTTTTCCAGCAGCTAGAACCTTTACTTCTCTGTCATAAGCTGACTAAATTACTTATTTCTACTCAAAATAAACCTGCTTTACCTTAGAAAAAAGACCAAGCATTTCAGCCTGGTATCTCAGGAACCTTTGGCAAACTGCCATTTCATGCAGTTAAACACGTGCCTATTGCTTTATCCTGCTGCAGCTGTAACAAAAGAACAGTTGAAAAGAAAACCTTGGCATGCATTATTCAAGGAAGGTCAGTGACTGAGTAGAACATCAATTTACTGACAACTTCATAATTAAAAAAGGTTTATAGAATACTGAAGGGCCAAAATGGATACGTAAGTCTGTTTATTTGTGCTCACTGTAGTTAAAATTACAATTTGTCTACAAAGTATATTTTACATGAAGTACACCACTTTTACTTACATTTAAAAAGCAGTTTATGCAAAGTTATGTTTGTGTGAATGAAATCTTAGAGTGATTCTCAGCAGACTTAAACGTGGAGAAAGAATATAGAAGGAAATAAACTTGAATCCTTCCTAAAAATCAAAAGTGCTGAATATAAACATTATTGTTGCATAGAAGTTGGAAATTCTGCTGTAAATCTAAACTGTTTCAATGGGGATAGAGTATGGAAAAGAAACAGCCTAGAACAGTTAAAAAAATGTGGAAAACTTGGGGAAGCTTTTGGTAAAAGAGCATTGAGGTTTCAGTTAAATGTTCACCTGACCAGTATGAGCCTTCTCAGTGCATGGCCCTCATCTTGCCAGCAGAGGGAGAAAAGAAAAGGGTAAATCAAGATCTTATCGATGACAGTTCTTGTCCACAGGCTCCTCTGGTACCTTCAGATACATCTATAAGGTTACAGAATATTAATTAGGAAAACAGGATATAATTTAAGACCTGTGAAAGTACTTGAAAGCATAAGGATTAGCATGGCACAGATTCTGTTCAAGTAAAATGAATTATTTGAATTAATCAAAATTATATACAATAATATAAATATAAAATACTTGGCTAGCAAGTATTTTGCTAAAAGTTGAGTGAAAGCCTTAGGTTTAGAAAAAAACAGGAAATACTATATGAGGTACAAAGCTGGTTTGTTTTACCTTCAGAAGATCAGCTGATGGTAGGTCTACCAGAGTAGGATTTCCACATTTCTCTTGATATTCTTGAATTAAGGCAGCTGCATCGTCAATGCTGTAGGAGGCAAGTTTATCAACTCTGTCAACAAGTTCTCTAAAAAGCCAGAAATTTAGATTATATTCACTGAAGTATAAAAATAAGGTATGACCCCACATTTTTGAAGCTGGATAGGTCCCATCATTTCCCAGGAGAGGAAAGCAAGCCATGGTAAGCCTAGTATTTAATCCATGGCTGATAATAAACCAAATATGTACTAGAATTTAAATAGTTATTACTGGTTCCTGTCCCATTTTGACTGTAGGATAACTGGTCGCAAAGTGACTGGGAATACTGGAGTGTTTGGGGTTTGAAATGAAAGTTTGCAGCTGTGGACAATGAGCCCATGTGCTGTGAGTCACTGATTGCTGATGGAGAACTGCCCTGCAGCAGCTTCAGTGGCAACACCCTTTGTGTTATTTAAGTGGAACACAAGAGGTATTTCTAACTCTTGAAAAACTGAGCAGTAACCCTACTGATTCCTGTTGTGAGTACAGGCAGTTCATTTATTTTTTCAGAGTGTTCTTACTGCTGGAGCTGTGACTCCGTGATGCCACTAAGCTGAACTCATCTGAAGGTAAGGCAAAGTGATTAAAAACAAAAGTGTTTGCTTTTTCAGTCAGGTTACTTCTGCTGTTTTAACTGCATTTGATCTGTTTGCCAGTCTGAGTTTAATAAGCTGTTGCTTTGGCTTGAATGACTGTAAAACTCTATCCTAACCATGCAAAGTAGTGAGGTGAGATTTTTATTTTATTTCTTTATTTAACTTGGGAATACTTTAAAAAATTTTTGAGACTACTAGAAAATCTTGATGACTTCAAAGAAATGCAAATAAAATAAAGGAGATACTCAATTTCTGTAGTTGCTATCAGTCATGCATCACCTGTCTTATTAACTTACCAGTTCTTTTTGGCAAAATAATCCACCAGCTCTTTCATTCGGTGGGTATTCATCAGTTGTTGCTTCAATAGTGGAAAATACTTTGTTTTCAGGAATTTTTCATACAGCTTTTCATTTATGATACTGTCCAAAACCAAAGATCTAATCTGTAGATTTAAGGTTTAGTCATGGAAAAGTATTAATATTTTAAACATTAAAAATTCTGTGTATGCTTATCTATCAGAAAAGCCTCAAAGTCAAAGCCAGGTGAGTAAATTTTATTTATTTACCTGTGAAGCAAATGCCACTACTTCTCCAGTGTTCATGTGTTCATCTATTTGTTGCAGCACTGTTTCTGTGTTACACGTTGATAAGAAACCCTTGCAAAAATAAGTTACAAAACATTAATATTCTGTTAATTACTCGAGTAGAAATTCTTCTTTCAGAGCAAGTACTTGATGTATTTGGGAACAATAAATATTTTTGAAATTCTAGGAACAAACATGAAATTATCAAACCAGGACCTGTGCAGTTTGACTGAAATAATGCTCGTTGCTTTTAACTCTCAAAGGGCATTTTGCTGTAGCTGTGACAGGATTTTTTGACTCATTACCAGCAGACTAAATGTGTTACACTAATGCTGTATTTTGGGATAATCTTTCTGAGCTTATCTTTAAGAACTGGAAGTCTAAGAATTTCAGTTGTCTTTATTACTGCCAGCTTGGTCATGATAAATGTGGGAACAGCCTATAGTGCTTCATATGGGAGAACGATGGAAAGCATAAATTAATGGCAATAAATTAGAAGAGAGAGGAAACTGTCACGATACACAGATAGTGAGGATCTGGCTTTAAGGCAAAAGGTTTACATCAGAACTTGTAATGCCTATCAAGAATCTTTCTAAGAAGTCAGGAGCTTTCACCCAACATTTTTCCTAAGTAGGATTCGGTAGTTTTCTTACAGTCTGCTGTGAAACTGGCCTACTGGTAGCTCGTCAGCAATTGTATCTGTTACCAACTTCATGCTGCTATGGCAGGAATATGCCTATAGTTTAGATTTTGTAGGGGGGTTTTTTGTAGGTTTTATGGGTGGGATCCCATAAAATATCCTCAAATCCACAAAAGGCAAAGTCATATGACAAAGCTGCTGAGGATGACTTGAAGCTAGCTGGTTTTGCCTTTTTTTTTCTTTTTTTTTTTTAAAAAAAGAGGAAGTGTTCACATGATCCCTTTCAGAAGGACAAATTCAAAGCCTTAGCCTTTTTGGGTGGGAAATGCCAAGCAGCTGTCAGCAGTGTCATATTTTTAAAAGTTGGAATTATAAGTTACCATCTTTCACAGTTTCTAGTGAATATAACATACTTAAAGACATTTCCCTTGCACAGATAGAACACGCAAATTATTTACCTGAATTTGCTGCTCTCGCTTCTCAGCCTGAGGAGTCAGCAACAGGCACCCCAAAGCAAAAGCTGGAAGGTCCAACTGTGCATACTGTTTAGCTATTCCAATGACATCCAAGTCAGCCAGAACAGGACACCTTCAGAAGAAGATTAGGAGTGAAGTTCTCAACTATGATATGTATAACTGGATGTTTTAGTACTGTCAACAAAATGGTACTGAGATTTTTAAGCCAGATAGAACAATATTGGGTTGTTGGATGAGAAATTACAAACAGGCATTCCTACTGAAACTAATACCAATGTGGGGTGTACTAGCTACTTACTTGAGTAGAATCACAAAACACTCACAACATTCCCCTAACTGTTTAGGGCTTGGTGGACATGAAGCTAAGAAGAAAAGAAAACATGATAATGTAAATATATAACCAAGTTGCTATACCAACATAATAGCTAATAACAACCTTACCTGTGAGAAATGGTGACAGAACTACACTCCGCCAAGCTCGACTGAAGTTGGGAATCTGTTGACAGCAAAGTTTTAAAGTAAGAGCCAAACACAGCTGTAACTAAGTGTACGTGGAAACAGACATCCTGACCCACTAAGTGGAAGAAGCCTGTCAATTTTCTTTTCCTTTTGGCCTGGATTAATTATTCCCTAACGTTGCTTTCCTCATCTCATAGTCTAAGATTTAGCCATATTTTGATGGCAAAATTATTCTGTCCAACTTTACAAAAGCCTCCAAGTAAGTGTTTACTGAAGGAACTACAAATGCAATGTATACTATTTTAGTGATTAATAATGATACTC